AATGTGAGGGGATGGAAATGGGAATGTGCTGCTCCAAAGCAGGGCACTGCTGTGGGATTGATTGTGGGGATTGTGCAATCCAAAGGTTCTCACCCATTTCCATGGAGACCAACTCAGAGCATCTGGGAATTCAGCAGCAATGAAAATAATGGTGAATCACCGCCTTAGAGCTGTTTAATCCCACATTTGCTGGGGTTTGTGCCTTTTGAATTGAAATAAATGTGGCTGTGAGACCCAGAAATGAGTTTGTGTCCTGGGAAGGCATCAACTGGGGCTGTTGGAAAAGCCTCAGGGATGACATTGGTGCTGTGGCAGCAGGGAAAGGGGAAAACCCTGCAGGAAGGGGGAAAAGGAAGGCAGGGAATGGGACAAATCCCCCAGAAAGGAAAAAGGGAAAGCAGGGAATGGGACAAATCCTGAAGAAGTGAAATAAGGAAGGCAGGGAAAGGGACAAATGCTGAAGAAGGGAAAAAAAGGAAGGCAGAAAAAGGGACAAATCCCCCAGAATGGAAAAAGAGAAAGGGACAAATTCCCCAGAAAAGAAATAAGGAAGGCAAGGAATGGGATAAATTCCCCAGAATGGAAATAGGGAAAAAAAGGAAAGGGACAAATCCTGAAGAAGGGAAATAGGGAAGGCAGGGAAAGTACCTGCTGCTTATTTTAAAGCAGGATTTAAAAAGGGTGCTGAGGGATTAAGGATCATCCCAAGGGGATGGGGTGACCGTGGCTCTTTGAGGGCACATCCTGCTCCATCCTCCTACAAAAGCCATGCCCAAAAGCTCCAGGGCACTGTAGGAAGGTGCCCCACAGGGATTGCTGGTGCTGACAAAATGACCCTAAAACTTGCAGGAATAAAACTTCCTTATTTCTTTTTTGGGAAATTTGTCCCTTTCTCTTTTTCCATTCTGGGGGATTTGTCCCTTTTTCTGCCTTCCTTTTTCCCCTTCTTCAGGATTTGTCCCTTTTTCTGCCTTCCCTGTCAGCAGAAATCCCTGACTTCCCTGCAGCCTCTGCTGCTGGCCAGGCAGCCCCAAATCTGGTCAGATTTTAGGGGTTTTAGGAACCCTTTTACATCTGGAAAGGACAAGGCTGGGAGCCAGAGCCTCAGGGGAGCAAACAGGACGGAGAACAGGGAGCAAGGAGTGGATCTGCGGGTGGAAAAGGGGTCGCTGGATTCCTGGAAGGATTACAGCACCTCGTAAAAAACAGCCTCACCCAGCCAGGAGCACTGACATCTTGGCTGAACAAYGCTCCTCACCAGCCCGTGGACAGAGAGATTTGAAATGCTGCTCTCAGGAGCTTTAAAGGGTCCATAATTCATGCTCAGGCCTCGGACCATGAAAGGATGAAGAAAGGGTTTATTGCAGTGTTGTGCTGCAATCATCTCCTCTTGTGAGCTGCAGGAACTCGAGGAAGGYATTTGGGCTGTCTGGAGGTTGTGGGGGCTCTTGGCAAGCAAAGCTCACGCTTTCTCCAGTCCCAGAAGCCGGGGCTGAGCCCAGAGCTCTGTAAATCCAGGTTCCCAGCCTGGAGCTGCAGGAAATGCACCCAAAGGCGGGCAGAGCTGGGCAAGGCTCTCTGGGGGCACAGAAGGGGATTTTGGCAATGCCCACGGGCAGCAGGGACGAGCTGCTGAGCTTTGGGGGTTCTCAGAGGCACTGAAAGCAGGGCTGGGACCCCCAGATATTCACTATTCCCAAATTCCCATGGCAGATCTGCCTGCAGCTCTCACCAGAGCAGTGCCAGCCCCCAGGGCACCTCTGCCCGGAGCATCTTCATGGATCAGGGCACTCCAGGATCTCCGCTGCTTTCAATTGGGGTGGTTCATTGTCTCATCATTAATTCAGCTGGAAATGGCTCATTTTGATTCTTTCCTTGCTTGGGGATCAGTTTTTCCCAGGATAAACGCTCCTGAGAAGCTGGAACGCTGTCAGTGCCACCCTGCCCTGGGTCACTGGGAGGACAGCTGGGATGGAGAGGAGGAATCAAGGAGCTGATCTGAGATTTTGGTGAAGACCCAGCCCAGGGGACAGCACAGARCCACACAGGGGACATCAGAATGCTCTGCTGGCATCCTGTGACACCCCAGCGAGGCTCAGCACCCTCTTTTATCTGTTTTTTCCTCCTCCTTGCTTGGTTTGCTGTGTCCTCCTGCTCAGCCCCGCAGCACCTGCAGCCCCACAGGCACTGGCTGGTCCCACAGCCCATTCCCACTGGGGACAGTGGCACCCATCACCCCAGGGATCCCTGGAGAGGCTCTGCCCCTGCTCCAGTGCATTTCGAGTTTGGAGCCCCCCTGATTCTCCCAATTGCATCCAGACTCTCTCTCTGGCAGCCCCAGCCCTTCCCAAAGCACCCTGGCACCCTCCTGTTCCCTCCAGGCAGGTGCAGCCCCTCCCTCTGGTACCCTTTGGAAAGAATGAGAGTGGGAAGAGCAGGACTTTCCATTCTTTATTTGTCAGAACAGGATTTGTTCGGTGACAGGAGCAGCACTCTGACCCTCCCCAGGGCAGCTCCCCGTGTGCCCCCAGCCTGCTGAGCTCCCCCATTTCAGYGAGTGCAGCTCCCCTTCCACGCAGAGCTGCTGCTCCAGCCCGTGGATGACATTTCCAGGCAGGACAGACCACGATTCCCTGCTCCCCACCCRTTCCCAGTACAGCTGGACAGGTTTAACTGGAGCATCCCCGCTGTCAGGGCTCAGGCTGGGCTTTGCTGAGCTGAGTTTGCTCCCAGAATCTCAGACTGGTTTGGCTTGGGAGGGACCTTAAAGATCCTTTAATTCCACCCCCCTGCCATGGCAGGGACACCCCCCACCATCCCAGGATGTTCCCAGTCCCATCCAGCCTGGCCTCGGGCACTGCCAGGGATCCAGGGGCAGCCACAGCTTCTCTGGGCACCCTGTGCCAGGGCCTCCCCTCCCTCCCAGGGAAGGATTTCTTCCAGATATTGTGAGATTCAAGTGCTCGGTGCCAACACTGATCCATTTTGGCTGTGTTTGCCCCTTCCCTGCACCCCACACGAGAGAGGGAGAAGCCCCAGAGCTGCTGGGCACTGCCAAGGGTGAGTTTGGATCCCGGACAGACTCAATAAGGACAGGGATGGGGAGCAATCAGGCAGGGCAGGGTCCTGGAAGGGGAAGAGGAGCACTGCTCAGGAGGCAGCACAAAATGATCAGCAGGCATCGGAGGAGCAGCACTGGGAACAAATGGAATGGAATTTCCAGGAGAAAGCGCAGGTGGAGGCTCCCAACAGAGCACGGAGCCATCTCCCGAGGACAGCACAGCAGCCCCGGGGTCAGGGCACTCAGAAACAGATCCAGCAGCGAGTGCAGCCCGTGGAACATGCCTGAAGGGTCGGGGCATGATGGATTTGGGGATCTCTGCGAGGAAACGATAAGCAGGTCCCTGATTTTGGGCTGGGGAGTGATTGGAGCAATTCATCCCTTGCACTGCCCACAGCCTGCTCATGCACATCAGGGACTGGGGACAAAAAGAGCTGCCATGACCCCCTGCACGTCCCTAACCTGGAAACGATCCCAAGGACAGCGTTTCCAGCACAGAACAAGGGACTGGAGCCAGCCAGGAACCTTCTGAGGAGMGGGTATTGTTGGGAAATACCTCCCTTGGGCAGGTTTGGACAAAGCCTTGGCAGAGCATCTCAGAGGGAAGGTGTGGGAGAAATCAGACTCTTTGGAGAGGCTGGGAGCTGTGCCAAGGGATTCCAGGGGATCCCGGCTCCCTCACAAGTGTGGGAGAGCAGCTGGAGGGCCTCAGGTGAGGAACTTTCACAGAGACACAGCCCTGCACGGAGGAAATGGGGCAGAGGGGCTCTGCTGAGCTCCTGCAGCCTCTGTCCCTCCCTACAGAGCTCTGCCCAGCTTGGTGTCCATCCTTGAAACACCAAAATTGCACCTTCACAGCATTTCTGCTCTCACATGCTCCTCCTGCCTCCGTGCCCACAGAATTGTGAATGTTTTGGGTTGGAAGGGACCTCAGAGCCCACCGAGTGCCACCCCTGCCATGGCAGGGACCCCTCCCACCATCCCAGGCTGCTCCAAACCCATCCAGCCTTCCTCAGACACTCCCAGGGATCCAGGGACATCCTTTCCCAATCTTACAGAACCATAGGATGGTTTTGGTTGGAAGAAACCTTAAAGATCACCAATTCCAATCCCCCCAAGCACTGCAGGACACCTTCCCCAGGAGGTCACTCCTGCTCTGGCCGAAGGTGTCCCTGTGTCCCCATGTCCCTGTGTCCCTCTGTCCCTGTGTCCCTCTGTCCCACCCCTCTGCTCAGTCCCCTCACCCAGACCTGGCTGTCCCTCCTTTAGCAGCTTCACATCAAGCAGTGAGAAAATAAATAAATAAATAGGATTGCACTCCAGGGAAAGGTTTTTTTTGCAGCTGGAAGCCCGAGAGGGAAGGTCTGAGATGAGGCTCCCACCGTTCAGTACCAGCACGTTCTGCCCAGGTCTCTGCAAGTCCAAGGTGCACGTTTTCCTGTGGTTTTCCATCAGTTTTTCCTGCTGTTTTCTGCCTGGGGGCTGTCACTCCCTTTGTCTCCATCTCTGTTTAATGAGTTTTCCCCGATCCTAAATCAGCTCAGGGTGCTCCTCCCCTGCAGGAGAGGGGTGGGTGCTCTGTCACCTTTGGGGGCTCGGGTGGTAAATCCTGGCTCCCGAGGGTGGCTGCTGCTGGAATGGGATTTCCTCCAGGAGGATTTCCAGGTCCCAGCACTCCAGGCAGGGCAGTGCAGGATTTTGGGGTGAGGAGCAAGGAAAGGCCACATTCCCATTGCCAATCCCTCTGCTCCAGGGTCAGGGCCCCACATACTCCCTGCACAGAAGCAGAGGTAGGCAGAGAAGATGCCAGAAGGAGAAACGAGCATGGAATAAACCGGAGGAACCTTCCGTGCTCCTCTCTCTTGGTCCTGGACTGTTCCTGCTCCAGCTGSATCCCAACCAGAGTGTGGACAGGCTGCTGTGAGATGTCCTGAGCTGGCCACGAGGCAGGGACCYGSCTGTGCCTCTCCAACCCGGCTGGAGACCACGTCTGCTCCTGGTGCTCCCCTTCAGGAAGGATTTTCCACGGGGAGAAACCCCCTCAGCACCTTTTGTCATGGTTTGGACATCCCCTCTGTCAGCTCCTTCTGCAGAACTTCTTCCCCAGTGTCCTCCAAGGCTGCCAGAGCCTCTCCTGGTGCCCTGGCTGTCCTTGCCCAGCTTCTCTCCGGGCGGGGGGCGATGGATGGGGATGAGGATGATGGCTGAGGCCATCAATTCTCGCAGCTCAGCTCCCACTCCATCTCTCCAGAGCCCTCCTGAGCTCAGGGTGGTGAGGAACAGAGGTTGGATCRCTCAGCTCTCGACCATTCCTGGACATCCAGGGATCTCTGTGGAGGAAAAAAGAAAGAGAAATGGCATTAATTGAGCACAGTTTGAGATAGAAGAGGAGTTCAGATGCCAAAGCCAGGAGAGAGATTACACCTCTTTCCCTCATTGTGAAGACACCCAAATGACTGACAAGCCTGATGAAAAAAAAATGGGAAATTAATTCAGAGATAGAGAAAGGAACAAGAACAGAATATGCCGTGTTTTTGTTTTCTGGAAGTGATATTTTTTTAATAAGGACATGTAAAAGATTATCATCTGTGCGTGTAGGAGAAGAAAACAGCTTTGAAGCCAAAATGGATCTGCAGAGTGGATAAAAACCCATATCTGTTCTTTGGGAACACAATGCCTCTCTCGGAGGAATTCTGGGGATCCAAACTGCAGTTGTATTTCTCGTGCAAATCAGGGATGAAGTTCCAACKTGACAGAGATGATTTGCACCCGTGTCCCTTGCCAGAATCTCTTTGAAAAGATTATTTGCACTCCATCTGCCCTGCACAGGGTGTTTATCCATCCTTCCTCCCTTCCTTCTTCCCTCCCAAGCTGTGCCAGGGCCTCCTCACCCTCTCAGGGATGAATTTCTTCCCAATATCCCACCTAAACCTCCTCTGTCTCAGTGTGAAGCCATTCCCCCTTGTCCTGTCCCTGAGGAAAACTGGAGCCTGGGCATTTTGCAAATGATGAGCCCTTTAGAAAAATCCCTGTGTGAAATAATGCCAGCTTGGAAATTCCAGCAATTTCCACAGGGAACAGTCCCMCCATGGGATCAGGGACCAGCAGTTCATCCAGGGTGGACAATTCACCCAAACATGAAGGACAGACGATGAAAGTGGTGACTTTGAGTGCTGTGGAATGCTGAGCAYGCTGGAGATTTTCCAGAACAAATCTGTGAACCCGGAGTGAAGCTCCTCTGCCCTTTTTCATCAACTGCAAACCCGAGGACCCTTCTGCAGTGATCCTATAGATGGTGCTTGTCAGCTTCTGAGGAAACCTGAACCATTCCCTGAGCTCCCAGGGTGAAGGAATAGGGAATTCTCCAAAATAATTCCATCCCAGCAAGGCTGTGCTTCCAGCTCTGCACCCCTCAGCCACTGGGGGTTAATTGCTGCTGTCATAATTAGAGAGATTTGCTGATTRGAGCGGTGCTGCTCAGCACCCCCATCCCTCACAGGGCAGGGATTCCAGCCTTGTTTTTCCCAGGAAAACAAACCAAATCGATGTTTCTGGGAATCTGGTGACAAGATTACCATAAAAATGACTGTGGGGTGTTCCAAACCCAAGCCACATGGCCTGAGAGGAGGCAGAAGTCCAAACCCCTTTTCCTGCTGCCCCACCGGATGAGCTCCCCATCCAAACTCTGGTTTCCATGGCAACAATCCATCCCAGTTTTGTTTCCCTCCTGGCCAACCCCACCATCAGCAGAGTCAAACAAAATGGGCACCACTGCCTTCCTCTCCATCATCATCCCCAAAGAGTGGGATCCATCCCTGACTCTGCTGGGACAGTGCCAGGCGATAGGATCGATCACTTTACACAGGAAATGTAAATTTTCACTGGAACAAGACCATTTTTAATGTCCCTTCCAACCCAAACCATTCKGTGATTCCATTAATGAGAGATTTATCCTTTCATGATCTGGAGYTCTTTGAGGCTCAAGCTCTGCTGAAACTACAACTCATTTCCATGGAGTTAATTCCAGCAAAATCCAGGGAATGGCTTTTCTGCATCCTGGAGTAAATCCTGCTTTTCTGCTCAATCCCAGAGCAAACCCTGCCTTTCTGCTCAATCCTGGAGCAAACCCTGCCTTTCTGCTCAATCCTGGAGCAAATTCTGCCTTTCTGCTCAGTCCTGGAGCAAATTCTGCCTTTCTGCTCAATCCTGGAGTAAATCCTGCCTTTCTGCCCAGTCCCAGAGCAAATTTTTCCTTGTTGCTGAGCCCCAGAGCAAACCCTGCCTTTCTGCTCAATCCCGGAGCAAATCCTGCCTTTCTGCTCCATCCTGGAGAAAATTCTGCCTTTCTGCTCAATCCCAGAGCAAACCCTGCCTTTCTGCTGAGCCCCAGAGCAAACCCTGCCTTTCAGTTCAATCCCAAAGCAAATCCTGCCTTTTTGCTCATCCCAGAACATGCTGAGCCCAAGTCCTTCTGGTGTAAATCAGCAGCACCCTCTGAAAGCAAGGAGCCAGACTCTCCTGCAGGATTCCATTGCTGGGGTGTCAGCGTGGCCATCCCAGATTTATCCTCGTGTCACCAGCAGAGGATTTAACCCTGGCTGATTTATTCCCCAGTAAAACTGAGGTGCAGGGGGAGYGGGGTTTGCAGTTTGTCCGGGCTCTGATGGAAGACAGGGCTGCCCAAACAGCGGCATCATCCCAAGAATTCTGATTTACGGGCTGGGAGCGCGGGAGGGGAGGGAGGAGCGCAGGGAGACGGCAGCTCCACAAACAGCACATCCCCTGTCCCCAACATCTGCCTCGTAAAAACACAAAATCAGATGTTGTCCCAGAATGCTGCTGGCTGACATGGACACAGCCCAGTTCGCTTGACCTCTTCCAGCATCTCCTCTGCCCTGGGAGCTGGATTCCTCAAGGTTCACAAGGCAGAGCTTGATATTCATACCAGAAATCGGCTGGGGAAGCCTTGGGGCCTCTGTTCCTCCTGGAATTCCTGGGTTCAGTAGGGTGGAACAGCCATATCCACACAGCGAGGGGTGTATAGCCTTGCTAACACCCTCCCAGCTGGAATTCACCCCTTCACCATCCCTTCTGTCAGTTCAGGACAGCCCGAGGAGAGGTGGAAGCCTGATGATGACATTTGAGGTCATTAGTCCTAATTAACCCCAGGCTCAAGGACAGCCATTCCACGGGGTGARGAGCTGATGAGAAAGTCAAAATTCCCCTTCCAGACAACGGGAATGGATTATTGCCCACAGAGTCACGGTGGGAGTTTGGAATGGCTCACATGGGACRTTTCCCAAAGGGTCAAGGAGAGGATGAAGAGGAAAAGGATTCCCTGTGGATGGTTTTAATGCTTTGCACTGAATGGTTTTGCAAATCAGCAGGAACAGCAGTGACAGGATTCAGGAAACGGCTTCAAACTGACAGAGAGCAGGGACAGATGGGATATTGTGAAGGGATTGATCCCTGTGAGGGTGGGGAGGGCCTGRAATGCAATTCCCAGAGAAGCTGTGGCTGCCCCTGGATCCCTGAAGTATCCAAGGCCAGGCTGGATGGGGTTTGGAGCAACCCTGGGATGGTGGAAGGTGTCCCTACCATGGCAGGGAGGTGGAATGAGAGCATTTTTAAGGTCCCTTCCACCCCCAACCATTCCATGATTCTGTAGCTCCATAAATCTTCGATTTGCTTCACTCCATTTGAAACCTGCACCCTGTGGAATCTCCACGGGAGATGGAGCTGGATATCCACAGAAATGGAGCTCTCTGAAGGCAGCTGAGCAGCCCTTCCCCAGGCAATCCAAGGATTCGGGGTGGAACGAGGGCAGAGCAGGACAGAATCTCGTGCTCCARCCCTGCAGGAGCCAGGAAAAGCTGCCAGCCTTGCCCTGCACAGTCTGCACTCGACGGGGGCCAGTCAAGCCTGGCACAGACCATCTCCAGACTTTTCCCTCTTCCCTTTCCTGCCTCCCCAGCCYCTCCTTGGAAACTCCTGCTATTTCACCCTGTTTCTGCAACCTGTCACCCCCCAGGTGCCAACAGATCCTCCTGGAGCCTTTAAACAGCTCCTGTCCGAGAGCAGGGTGTGAGAGGGATCCCGGGGCACAGAATGGGACAGGAACCCTCAGGTGCTTCTGCACAGCTCGGGGTAAAAGCAGAACCTGTGAATGCCTCAGAGGAAGCCAAGGTGGATCATAAAAACCCACAGAATATCCCAGTCCCAGATTTGGTCTGGTTTATGATCACTTTTATCCAGGAAAGGAAAGAATTCCACCTCTTTCCTCTCAGCTTGCCGTGCTTTAGGGCACCTCTGTGCTTGGCTGTGCAGGGTGATGTTCCCGTGGCACCTTGGGGTGCTCCCTGGTTTGCTGCAGCACCTTTCCCGCACAGTTCACCCCTGACTCCCAAATCCCATCCTGGGGAATGCCTCTGGATGTTTCACAGCTCATCCATCAGCAGGGAGAGCATTTCCTCCCTGCCCTCCTGCCCTGCACCGTTTGTGCTGCTTGGTGCCCCTTTCCCTGAGCTCTCCTGTGGGATTGGGATCCAGCAGCCACAAACCCAAACCAGGATAAACTTCCCAGTTTGTTTTCAGTCAGTGCCCAGCTCTCCCCAGGCACCAAAATAACTCCACATCTCCGCTCATCAGGTGTGGTGTCAAACTCCTCTGCACACCCAAGTTTTGTGTCCTTCATCCCCACCCAAAGGCTCTCCCAGCACTGGGACATCACTCAAATACACCTCAGTGAAGATCTCTGGCTCCTCCATCGCTGCAGTTCCATTCCTAAATCCCAAACCTGGATTTTCATTTCCTTTCTGAGAAATCACGTCCCCATCACAYGATGGCTTTGAAGGACTTCTTTTTTTCCTGGCAGGGGATCATCCGAGGACCTCTGGAAAGCAGCCAGGATGGGAACAGCTGCAAAGCAACAGGCTTTTAAAAGCTCTCTTATCCTATTTCCCTCTCCTTCCCTTGTCCCAGCTCTTTTGAGGGTTTTTATTTTGTTTCTTTTGTTGGATTTTTGAGAAGTGGAAGGACACTGATTGCTTTGGGTATTGTGAGGTTTTTTTAATCATTGAACAGATTGGATGTTGTTCCCAACAGAGGGAGCAGGGATCAGGGATGAAATCCTGCAATAACTGGGGATGGAAGGGACATTAAAACTGATCCAGTGGCACCCCAGCCATGGGCAGGGACACCTTCCACCATCCCAGGCTGCTCCAAGCTCTGTCCAGCCTGGCAAACACATTTCATCCCTGCCAGAGTCACAGAAACAACCTGAAGGAGTGTAAATGGCAATTCCTGCACTCCTGATGGTAAAATCACAGGA